CGGCGGCCCCCCGCCCTGCGGCGCCGCCTGGCGGGCAGCGCGCGCGGCAGCAGCGCCCGGCGCGGGGGGCGGGAGCGGCGGCACTAACGGCCGCAACCAACGGCCGCTACCAACGGCCGCAACCAACCGCCCCTACCAACGGCCGCAACCAACCGCCCCAAGCCAACACACTGCAACCAACCGCCCCAAACGAGACACCCTAACCAACCGCTGCAACCAAACCACCCCAATCGACCCACCCAAAACGAGACACCCCAACCACCTACCCAAATCAACCACCCCAAACCAACACACTGCAAACAACCGCCCCAAACCAACCACCCTAAACAAGCACCCAAAACCAACCATCCCAACCGACCCACCCTTACTGACCCACCCTTATCAACCCACCCCAACCACCCACCCAAGCAACCCACTCCAAACCAGACATCCAAACCCCAACCCAACCAACCCAACCGTTGTCCCAGCCCAAGTCCTGCTTCGCACTGACCTCCCCGCCTTGCTGGCTGGATGCAGCAAACACGACAGCACGTGCAGCGGGAGACCTTTGTATTTTTTATTTAAAATGTACATTAAAGTTAGAAAGGTGTCAGGCTAAACAGTGTTTGCCAGGTAGATACATAACTCCRTGCAGCAGTCGCGCGCTCCCTGGGCCAAGGGACACCAAAGTGTGCGGGGAGGCGGCAGAGCAGAGGGCGAGGGACATGCGGGCGGGAGGTGCGGCGAGGGGCTCTGCGCGACTCACATCAGGTTTGGATGGAGCATTGTTATTAGTTATCACTGTTACACCAGCCACTAGCTGCCTCCCTCCTCATACTGCTAAGAATAAGACCATTTTCTAACTTTAAAGAACAGGAGGTGTGACTATCTGCATATTTTTAATGCAATTGATGGATGGTCTAGATGATAAAAGAAAAATACCACTCAACCCACATTGATGAGGCAGCACAGTTTAGTAAGGTGGTGAGATATAGGAGGACACCAATGAAAACACACAGTTCTTGCTTTATTTCTTTGTTAAAATTAAATATTTCGTGGTTGCCGACAGAGCAAATTGCACCATGTTTATGCTTCCTTTGACTCTGAATGCAACAGTTTCCAAAACCGATCAAACAACAGCATATTGAAAATATTCCCTAGGCTTCCAACTTTATGGAAGCCCATGACATTTACATCATTGAAGACAAAAATTAGGAAAAAAAATACTCATAACAATGTTTGAAAATGTATTCGCTACATCATTAGTCCAAACATCRCGTTTCTGTTGCTCTTCAAAATTTTCAGTAAACAACCAGTTTCCCCCCTTGTTATTGTCTTGTCACACAAATTACAAGACACTTCAATTTTAAATACCATGCAAGTCAGTAAAAGAGCTTCTTTCCAAGACACTAACACTGAAGAATTGTTTCCCCTCCCTCCCCAGACATAAGATCCCTAAACTCTTCTAGAAGTGGCAGTCTTCTCCCTCAGACCCAGTGCAGCTGGCGAAGACAGATTAAAAAAAGCTACAGAGAGAGAAAGGGGATAAAAAAAGAGAAAAAAACAGAAGATTATCAAAAAAGAGAAAGACATTCAAAAAGCAGGAAGAAGAGAGGCAACATGAAAACAGCTGACAGAGGAGAGATGGCACCTCTTCTATGAGGCTGGGTGTCTTGTGATACTTCAAGGGAAAAAAAGACTTTTAATAACATTCTGATAAGGCAAAAGGTCAAGACAGACAGCCGGTGACCTGCAGTATTGGAAACAAAAGGCAGATTAAATGCTCCTTTTAACGGATAACCTAGAAAACACTGAGAAAATGACACCGACTGGTCTGGGGAACAGGTCTACCTTCAACAGTAATCAAAAGAAGTAAATACTCAAGTTATTTCAAAACTTTGAATTTAAATTCAATTAAAAAAAATAAAAAGAGCCAAAGCATTTTAAGGGAAATAAAATCGTCTTTTCAGTGAAACAGGACATCTGCAATACTAAAAATATATTGTGATCAACAGTTTAAGCTGCCCTGACCACTGGGACAGGAGGGCACATGCTGGTTGGATGGGGGTCACTGCTCCTATGAGCCCCTCGCTGCACTAACAGTGTGCGGAGGGAAAGGTTGAGAACTGCTTTAAACTTYGATCTTTATTTATGTTTCAATGAGCATCCCTGAATACAAGGTTTTCACTTTGTAGCACTGATCCAAGCTGCTCTAAATGCAATGGATCAATGCAAAGGAAAATATTTTTAGAGTAGAGGGGCTAAAGTAGAACTTACCAGCAGATGTGGGCCAGGGAGATGCCCAAAATACTGCTCTGAAGATCAGATTTTGCAAGGCAATGAAAAGCTCTCGTAACTGGGAAATACTGTCACGCTCTCGCCACAAAGCGAGCTTTAAAGGAGCTTTTCTGATCACCACAGCCCACGTGGGTTTTACGGGTTGTTGGTCCGTGATAGGGAAGAGGGAGAAGCTGTTGGTGAGGTCTGAGCATCACTCAGATTATCCCTAGAYAATAAGCCAAGGAACAGCACGGCCTCTCACGGCTAGTGCTGGGGTTTGTTCATCAGAATTTAGGACTTCTTGGGCTCATCCACTCCAAACCCAGGGCTGGAGGAGCCTCTGATGAAACTATTCACCCAGACACCCTGTCCGTGCAGCAGGGTCAGGACAGGGGTTCCTCCACGCAGGGACATCTTAGCCCAAGCACCAGGGCCACAGCAAGCAAGTCAGAAATGGCAGCAAGTATTAAATGTTGGGTCTCGGGTAGCATGAATTAGCAAAAGAAAAAAAAATAGGGCAAATTTAAAAAAAAAAAAAAAGACGATGTCATGAATGACATCAAGTATAAAGAGAACAGTTTTTAAATCTCTCAACTATGCCATAATTAAACTAAGGTGGTGTTGTTATCTTAACGTCACCAATAAATACATTTAAACTGCATTGTTATTTTGCCAGCAAAAATAACTCWCAGAACTTCTTTCCACATCCCACATCCCTTATTTATCTGGGTGGACAGGGGCCCAAGGGCCATGAGAAAGGGGAATCCATTAATTGGAGGGGGGAAAAAAAATAGACTGCAAGTTGCAGCATCCAAAACCTCATTATGGACTGATTTTACATTGATTAACAAAAGCAATAACCGCCAGTACATAATAAAGACAGATTCACAATGCGAATATAGCATATAGCAAGAGTAACGGCATGGAAAGGTCACAGCTGAAATGCTGTCACGTTTTATTAGACCCTCCGATTTAACAAGAAAATGAAGGTCCATTCCAGCCCATTGTATTCAGGGGTAATTACTCAGTACAGAGCCATGGGTTACTGTAAAAGAAGGGCAAAGAAAACAAAAAACAAAAGAAGTAAATGTTAACCAGAATTCATTGTCTGAGGAAGATTTTATTTTTTATTTATTTTTTTCTTTTTTCTTTTTTTTTTTTTTTTAAGAATTTCCTCATCCAGAAATACAGAGAAGACACCTGTAGGCAAATCACAGTTGTGCTTGGCCACTGAGCAAATTCCTGGCCCCACTGAAACACAGAGCAGAACACCCACCCTTATAGTGCAAATCTTGCACTAAGAAAAGGCTTTTGATGAATGTAAAAAAAATAAAACGCAACCGATAAAGATCTGTACATTCCTAAACAGATGCCAAGTAACAATAATAAAAAATTATTAAAAAAAAAAGTGGGTAATACTTTTTGCATTAAGTTTTTGGAATTATTGAGAAGAAAGCTAAAGGAACATCATCATCTTTCTTCCCAAACACTGGTACTTAGAGCAGGGTGAGCAGTTTTCCCTGAGATTGGATCCAAGACATGCATCGAGGTCAGCACCACGGCAGTGGGACAGGGCAAGAGGCCCTCGGGACCGCAGCAGGTGCTGAGCTGCAAACCATGGATCCAAAATCCCCCCAGGAGCGGGGTTTAGATGGATCGAAGTGCAAGAGAGGACGGAGCCCGTGGCCTTCACCCTGGCACGACACGCCGTGGGGCGGCATCGAGCGGCTGCTCTCTCTTTCCATGCACCTTTCACACCCATGAGTGGGAAGGCACAAAAAAAATCACGACCATTTAGCAGCGGGGACACTAGTATTACAAGCACTTGGCACCCTGCTATGGACCAAGAGAGAAGACAGATCAGCAACCAGCGGCTGCTGCCAGTTCCACRCAGGTTATTGCCAAGTTCTTCACAAAAACTAGCAACCGAGGACGGCCAGCGGTGCAGGCGCTYGCTTAAAAAAATGGTGAGCAGAGTAAGGGAGCAATGAGGAAAGGTGAGCAAACAGGCACAGTGCCATAGCTGCGTGTTAACCGAGTGTGGGGGCATTCGCCTCTGGTGTGAAGGGAAGGGTTCTACAGGAAACCCGAACTGAAAATGAAAGAGAAAAGCAGATTAATGGTTTTATGGATTAAAGACAAAAAAAAAAAAAAAAAAAAAAAAAAAAAAAAAAAAAAAAAAAAAAATAAAAAAAAAAAAAAAAAAAAAAAAAAAAAAAAAAAAAAAAAAAAAAAAAAACCATAAATATGCTTCCTATCACACNAAAAAAAAAAAAACCCAAGAACATAAATATGCTTCCTATCACACAAAAGAGCAAATGTTGCTAAGTGTTAATGGAGTTTAATTTGACCTCGGAACATGCTTTTGCTGGCACACGCATGCAGGCACGCACACGCACTCAGCAGTGGGATGAACCAAACTTCATTTTTAAAACAATTCCTCCATAGTTTTGCCAGCTACAAGATTCATCAGCCGTGACTTCCATGTATCCTTGMAAAACAGTGAAGCCCCGGAATACTTTAGAGAACAATATTGGGAGAATTTTTTCCCTGAATACTGAARAAGTACCACACATACATGTTTCGTTTAGCAAGGACAAATGCCCATTGAAATGGCACTGTCTGCATTTGTATAGTGGGAACAAAGAACCTTATTCGATTCAAAGCCCAGCACACAACAGTGCACAGTTACAAGGATGGCCAAAAGCAATCCAAAACCAACAAAAATCAGTAATGTTCACTCTAACTGCACTTTAGTAGTGCCTTTGTAAYCAGCACCAGGATAACACTGTTATTCTTTGAGCTTATTTTTCCACATTCAGCCACTGAGAAGCGAAGGATTGTTCTCCTCATTGTTTCACACAGTTACTATCAGCAGGAGAGATATTCATTCATTCTAAYTCTTCTCTTAAGTGGAACGTCCCACTGAAATTAAATTCAAATGCTTCTTGCTGACAGGGCAACATTTACTTGCTTTTCCATTCCCCTTGGTGGGGTAAGAAGCAATGAATAGAGCCCTCTTTTACCTCCAAGTCAGCTTYACCCCACCTATGGCTCCTAGGTGTTTGTCTGCTGCAGCTGAACATTGGRGTGACTTGTGTGACCCATCTTAAAACATCATAGTATCTCTCAGGCTGTATGTTGACAGCCTACGTATCTGCTAAATGCTCAACACACAATCTCATATTATTTCAGATACCTAGCAACTATAGTCAACTGAATATTGGTTTGGTTATTCAGCAGTAGTTCCTTTAATGGTTCCATACAAACATACCCAATGTTTTGTGATTCTCTGGTGTTTTGGGTCAACTGAAAGCTCTGAGTTTGGCAGGTTTTACCATTTGTTAGTTGTGAAGGCAGGGACAGAAACTAGTCTTTTATCCTTCACCTGCACTGTGACCACAACTTAACACTACAACTTGAAGCAGCAGGAGGGAAGGAGGTGAAAGGGAAGAGAAAAGGACTTATTTTCCATCAGTTAGCTGGTTTCTATCATCCCCACCACATTACCATAGCAATTGTTGCCATAGTATCAACATGGCCCACATGGTTAAAGAACATCATTTACTTCTAAGAGAGCTGGAATAAAGAGAGAGCCAACGAAGTGCTGGAAAGGTTTAAAAGGAAGAGTCCCTAAATCCTTATTTTATCCATATTTAACGTCCAAATCTTCATGTATTTTGCTTTGCAGCATCTTTAAAAACGTACTTCACTGCATCCTTTTTCTACACTACAGATGTAGAGACAGACTGGTGGAGCATTTATAGTGAGGGTGAAAGCAGAAGAAGATGGAGACAACACTCATGGGCTTCAGGCCTTGTATAGTGTCAGCCTTGTATAGTGTCTACGTTTTTTTAGAACTGATCCCACTGTGAGGTCTATATTAGTTAATGAAGCTTACCAGGACAATGTGCTTCATGCACCATGCAGCCAAACAGCAGTTAACTGTAAAATAGCACACACGTAAGAACTAATGATGATGATGATGATATGACAATTAAAAAAAAAAAGAAAAAGAAAGAAATCGAGTCATGATTAGTGCATAATACACAGATTGGGTTTAAAAGAGTCATCTGTGAAAGAAAAGGGCCAGTTTACTGCCAACCACTATTAAATAAGATATAAYTAAGCTACAGTTGGTGAGATTCATGGCTTGTTAAGAAGATTTGYGATCTAAATATTGAAAGGCATTATTAAGGACAATTAGAAAGGTTACAGAGCAAGACAAACATCACCACTTACAACAGCTATTTCACTGGAGGAGACAGAGGCTTCATAATATCTTCCCAAGCCTGTTTTAAGCACTATCCTACAGCTTTCACAGTTTCCTGTGCCCCAAATTTAACTGACAAAGTGGGGTTTTTTTTACATGAAAGTGTCAGCTTCAAGGAGTGCTCCCGAGATCAGAACTGCTTCTAGGAACAAGAGTGTGACTTGGGCTACAGCTACCGATTACAGGGCGTTATCATCCCCTTTCTGCACTCCTGACCCTGACTGATCTTGGGGTAAAAGGTACAATGTCTGTGGGCTCTGAGTGAAAGGAGCTCAGCTCCTCAACAGTGCAGATTGGGAACAGAGCTCTGTCCCCAGTCAGTCTTGGGCTCTTCAGCATGAGGAGACACTAAAAATCCCCTGAAGGTGACTCAAAAGAGCAAATCAAAACATGCAGTGTAAAAGGAATGGACAAGCAAAATAAGAACAGGAGCTCTAACTGCTCATCACAAAAAGAACTTTGACATGGAAGCAGCTCCAGCTCTAATGTAAAAAGACTTAAATGGGACCTGATTCTGGTTACTGGCTTTTTCTTCTCCTGACTCATTTGATTGCGAGCTTAACAGTCATCAGCTATTTTTCCTGAAAAATAATACTGTCACCTCTTTGGGCACTTGCCATATTGTCCATACTAAGAGCGCTCATCCTTGTACTTCAGACTGCCTAGTGTGGACCAGATTTATTCTGCATTTGCTCCAGGGYTGTGTGGACAGGGGTTTGTGGCAGTGGTATCAAAAACAACCCCAGTTTATCTCTGTGCTGCTGCTTGCGCACGTGCTAAGGGGGCACAACACTCTGCTTCAGATAACGGTCCATAGTGAGAAGAGGAGCTTCTCATCACTAGGTGAAACAGGAGAACCGCCACAGCAGGTACAGCTGGTTGCTCTTCAGTGACTGTGAGCTGGTGTGGACACTGCAGATGGGTCCAGACCACAGGTCACAACAAGGGGCTAGATCCTGTCTCACCTGTCCCTGTCATGAGGAATGCCTGCCAAAGCTATGATTTAATTCTGTAGTTTCTGTAGAGGGTAAACAACTTAGGCCTGGAGAGAGCACTAACAAGAAACTGAGACTTGACCTCTACATTACAGTTTGCAGATGGCACAGTTCAAGGTTATTAGGCTTCCAGGATAATTTCCACAGGGTAACATTTTCTCCTAACTTAAACAAGGAGAGTATAAGTTTGAGAACAGGAACCTGAGACCAGCCTGGTCCTTTGTTGAGAACTGGGCACCCTTGTTGCCCACACACTGTCCCTGAGGTGCAGCGCTCCCAAGCAACTGATTTTGTCCCCGTTCCCTACAAGCACTGACAGACCAAGGAAGGAGAAAGGAATCTCAGGGAACAGAAGCGAGTTCTCCCTCTCCCATGCTGTCAGTAAGCAACAAAGCAGGTTAGCTCTCCACTCCCTCTTCAGAATGACAGATATAGGTAAAAYGCCTCCAGCTACAGCTTAGCCTTGGGACTGAATCTGCCTGCAAAACTTGCCCTGATGAGGACTAGCCAGGCTGTGAGAGAGCTGTGGACACCTAGGAAAACAGTGAGAGAGCGCCATTCCTGAGAAGCACATACCAGCACGTTAGCAACTTACTTTTTTCTCTCCTTATCTCTTTTGAGGGTTTGCGATCCTCCAGCCTGCTGAGCCTGAGATTGGAGCAATTCAGCTGCTGTCTTCCTTTGTTTAAATGCATTTAATTCATCATCCAGAGACTTCTTCTTGTCCTCTAACTTCTTTTTTTCATCCTGATGCAACTTCTTCAGACGATCAAACTTTTCGTGCAGCTAGAGGGAAAGGAGAAAGGTGAGCAGGACCCAACACGACCAGTTACTCTGTTTTCAGAAGAGAGATGGGAKGACCCCCTGACATCTGTGGCTTGGAAAGAGTCTCTGTCGATCTCTATATTGATATTAGGTCCCCCATTCCAGGCTGACACTGCATAGGCAAATGGGAGGAAACAGCCTCCTTCCAAGGAAGCTTACAAACCAGGCAATGTTGGAATAATGCATTACTGCACAGACTATGGATGGAGGATTAGGAAAGTGAAATAGTAGGAAAAAAATCCCAAATTCTTTTTTTTTTTTTTTTGTATTTCTGGAGGCATCCACCTTATTCCTCCTTAAGAGTTTAGTAAATTACTGAATTGCGGTGCAAATGCCAACAACCGGACTGCTGCCTTTAATCTTTCTGGTCAGGATTTACCTCCTTTCACAATGCTAAGGAAGCTGCAAGTGTGTATTTTTCATATAACAAGATTACGTGCGGGATTCTCTTTCCTTCAGTTGTGGCGTACTGCAGCAGGCCAACAGAATCAAATACTGTGGCATTTCCCTGGTGCAGTTAAGCTGGACAGCGTGCAAGCACTGCAGGCTACTGCTGAACTACAGGATCAACACCTTAATGATCCATGATCCCGAGTTAAATGTTTGACTCTGCTAAGAAAGGTCTAAACCATTTTTTTGGGCAGAAAATTGCTTTGGTGGCTTAGTAGCAACCTATTTAGAGGTGATCTATCACTCACGACCATGAAGAGACAAATACTGCAGYCTTCACCTCTTTTTCAGCCTCCTTCAGCTCAGCTTCTTTTTCCTTGACCCTCTGGACAAACATTTGCCTCATGGCCTCTTCCTTTTTCTGCAGTTCCCCCAGAAATTCATTTCTTTTGGCCTCATAAGTTTCCTGTAAGCTAAAGGGAAAAGAAAATTCAGTGATGTGACTTGGAACAAATTCTGCTTCCCCTGGGCATCTCCTTCCTAATGAGATCATGGAGTGGCCATGTACAAATGAGCAGAATTTAACAGTYCTTCTCTGAACTTATGAACTTCTATGATACCATGGAAGGAGATCAGCTGAACACCCCAGTACTCCGAACCCCAGAGATCCTGTACACAGCCTCTGTGCTTTCACCTCCTCTCACGTAGCCAGCCCCTTTGCTGAAGTCTGGATTTATCTGACCTGGCAGGTCTTCCTGCTGCATTGGTTCTTTATATGCCCTCTCAAGGACGCACACAGACTGCATCCCGCAGTGCCTCCCTAGAGCTCTCCTGTCTCCTCCAAAGATCCCACCTGAAGGGTTTGCTGTCTGGATCAGTGTCCTTAAAACCCATCTCTTCCAGTTTACATCGCCTGTACAGCTCATAGTGGCGTGTGTGGGTCTGTTCACGAAGGTCTTCCATGTTCACACGGATCAGCATCTCCCGCAGTTTCACAAAGTCACAGTGAGTCTCATTCTCCACTATAAGAGGACATGATAAGGAGTAAGATGGGGGCAGAGACAAAGGTTTCTCTCCACATTCTCCACACGTCTATCCCTCCAGAAGGCTAAAATAGCCCTTGCAACCAGACATAACTGTTACTACAGGCCCGACACAAATCGCCGTGTGGAACTGAAATCCAGCAGGATGCAAGTCAATAGCAGTACCATAGACACGACCAAGGCATCCCTTGCTCCTTTTACGAGAGCTTTCTGCCTCCATGGAGAAGTGTCACCGCTCTGCCGYGGGCTCAACTCACCCTGCACTGTGCCCCAGGGGTACTGACGAGCTTTCATCATTTTGTTTCCTATTTTCAGCTCCTCCGTGCTGCCGATCACTGCAAACGGCAAGTGGGCCTGGAACACATTTAATGCAACCCTTGTTAGTCCCTCTCAACTCTGGCAGACTTGATGCCACACAGGGATTATTAGCACAGCCACTGAGCAAGACAGTCAATACGCACACACTAATCTCAGGGAGTCTAGTCACTGGCCACTAGCCCACGACAAGGCGTAGGGGGAGCAGGAAGGAGCCTTTTCGGAAGCCTTGGCAGCGCTACCGCTCTGTATCCTCTACCTGGCTGATCCTCCCAGCCACAGGGTCTCAGGTGAGATGAGCTGGTGCAAGACTAGCACCAGAAAGACAGCTCGAACAACGCGCCGCGTCGCTCTGCCTGCGCTGGTGTCCCGGGGCACTKGCCAGCGCTGAGGAGGACATCTGCACAAGCACAGAAGCTGTAAAAGAGGCCATGGAGCTTCCTTTGATTTTAACACCCCCCAACCCTCTGCTTCCTCTCTCATATTGGAGACCAAAGTCCCTTCTCCACTCCCAGGGTAATAGCTCTTTCCTTGCTTCAGCTCTGGTGAGGAAAGGCCGCTCCGAGCCTGCCCATGTTAACGCTTCACAATTCCTCACGCACCCCATGCCTTGCGTTGGGGTCCACCTGGGGCACCCCCTTTCCCAATCCCCACAACAGTCCTTCATCAAGACTGTTGTTCCCAGAACCCGAGAAAAGACCCAGAGACTTTGATGGCTTTATAAAATGCTCACGCTGCCAATGCTAAACCTAGCTGCTAATACACAGCTGCAGAGCAAGATGTCAAGAACGGCCAAATTTGGAGCACAAACCCACAAAGAGGGATCTTAGGGAAAGGAGGATATAGCTGGTTCCCCTGGCTGAACTACTCTGCTGTCTCGTTAGGCTCTTCAAGCCTAGACACTCACTCTACAAAGCACAGTTGTTAAAGTACTGGAAGGGTGACCAAGAACGGAGGCAATTACTTTTCCAAAATCCAGAAAAACAAAATAGTCACTTCTTGGTAACAAGAAGATACTTTTTTTCTATGGCAGCGAGCCCAAGAGACTTGCCAACGCGAGCTGAGCAGAGCTGGAGCAGCAGTGCTCCTGACACCTCTCCAATACAGACRTCCCGCTGCGCTCTCCCCAGCCCTCAAATTCGAGCAGCCAAGCAAACCTCCCAGGAGCTGCTACCTTACTTTGCTGCATTTATCTGTTGTGCTTACAGTGAGACTGCTTCCCACCTCTGCTTCCTCCTGGGAACTATACTGYGTTCTGCCAAGCTGCAAAGAAGTCAAACGCAAGGTTTCAACACTTAAAAACAAGGTCATGGGCTCCCCGCACCCACCCCTTCCACTGACTTATGTGCAGTGATGCCTGTAGCTACGGCCTCAAAACTGCACCAAGTTCTGGGCAACGGGCACCAGTTGTATGGAAGATGAGTGACCCAGGATTGCTCGTGGGAACAGGTAATGAAGTTTCAATTCCACGAGTTATTTGAAAACTTGGGTGAAGGAGCTTGGCTACAGGCTCAGCCATCGTGGACAGCGAGCTGCTGTCTCCGTGTCGGTGCCAACCACTGTCTTTACAAGGGAGAAAGCGCCTGGGATCTCCCATCTTCATATAACTTCCCGCTTCCATTGTGTGGAAACAGCTCATGGTAGCTGTGGGTGGTTCCACTTAATTGGCAGGTGCAGGGAGATTTCATCAATAATTAGACTAATTCATTCAAAACKGAAAAGTTAATTGAGAACTGCAAGTATTAGAGAGGCTGTTTTTCTTAGTATGAGTAAAATCCAGACAGGAGGAGATGTAAAGGAGTCTGCAGCGTGTGCTCAAGCAGTCTCCACATATCTGGACTGCTGCACGGCTGCTGCTTAGTGGGATATTCAAAAAGGCCAAGTGAACTTCAAGGAAGAACGGGCATCTTGTTCTGAAGATTTAATGCAATTATTTTTTATCTCATTTTTATCTCATATCTCATTATCTCATCATGATAATACATATTTTAAATCCCTCAATGTGTCAATACCTCACAGACCGGGCAATATGACCTTTGCTCAGTAGTCAGTCAGAGTGCAAAATACTGAAAAAAAATCTCATGCATCCAGCACAAGTAAATATGATTAGCACACTAAACAGTGAGTTTGTGTCTTTCTAAATCTAATATTATGTTACAATGGAAAAGATGACCAAAACAGGTTATATGTAAAACATTAGATAATCCAAAGAATATTGGCAATTTATCTGTAATAAAACAAGTTTACCGATCACGCTATATAGAGTGTTTGCTGGTCAGCCAACAAGCACTACCTTAAGATGAAAATTACATTTATAACCTTTCAAAGAAGTTGATCTGTAACAGGCAAAGACAATGACACTTTCTGTAGAAAAGTGCAAACATAAAGGTTAAAGAACCCATTTAAACCAAAGCTTTCCATTCCTCAATTTAAAATATAATTAAAATTGGCAATTTAAGTTACAAAGTTAAACTACTTTATTTCCTATTGGTCTCAATCCCTCCACAAACTCATCTCATCACCTGAAGCAAAAGGAGATTTGTCTTATGTTGTTAATAACATCAATAATTGGACACAAGTTTTCCCGGTGCATCAGATTCCAATTCCTGCCTGCTTGGTTCCCATGCACCTGGGAATTATGATTTATATCAGTCCAATGAAGGATTCAAAGCAATGATCTCTGTTCAGTGACTGTCACAACCCAGCATKTCAACACCTGAGACTGCAGTTCCTTCACAGGAGACCTGGACACGGTCGGAAGGAGAGASAAGCAGAGGTTTACACGAACCCTCGGAAGGGCCGAGGGGAAAGACCACTTCTCTTCTGCCATCATGTCCCTCCAATTCCTCAGAACTGGGGGATGTTGCATCTTCATTTCCAGATGTGTTTTCAGTCTTATGTAGTGAGAGCATTTGGCACCGAGTAAAACACTCACAAAACTACCCTGACCAAGAAACCATCCCTACAACACTGAACAGCTACTCATATTAGACCAAACAAGGAGACACAAGCACCCAGAGCAGCACCTCTACCTCAGCTGCAGCAGTTAAAACAACCACTTCCCCTGCTTCCTGCCCTGCCAAAAGCTGTTTCGGATACAGGGGCAGGACGCACTTCCAGAGGGCCAAGTGACGACTTGCACCGGCTGCAGGGAGCCACACATAGGCACCCATGGTGCCAGAAACGCTCAAGCCAGAAACTGGGAGACAGCCTGTCCCTCTGGCCACACACTTAATACTCATCTGATTAGTTCATAACCCAGGACTGCCCTGCACTCATCCCTYATCACTGTGCCCCATTTCATGCAGGTCCCAAGGGCCTTAGGAGAAGAAAAGGGTTAAAAGACTGTCTGTTTTCTTTGACTAGAAAAGTCTTTTTAAAAGGCAGTAGCTCACAGTAAAGCCCTTCTAGTCTAGAATGATACTACCTGCTAATAGATTGAGATCTCTGAAAAAAATAAATGAATAAAAGGGAAAGTGGATAGTATGAAACACACCCCAAATCAACCACGAACTCGACAGTGACAGAGAGGAGGAAGGGCCAAATCACTTACATTCATCGTCCCATTTATCTCTGCCACCGATTCATCGTCTGTTGGGAACTGGTAGATCTGAACCCCRTTACTGACCAGTTCACTCGTGATTTTAATTTTAAATTTAGTCAGCTCACTCTTGGAAATGGCATCAGATTTGGCAATGATAGGAATGATGTTGACCTGGAAAGAAAGAGAATTATACAAAGCCTTGAGTTTTGCTCCAGGTAGTTTTTCCAAGTGTGATTGCAACCTATGAAAACTTACGAAAACAAAACAAAACACAAACTTATGGAACTTTATAAAAAGCATTCAGCAAATCTATAGGATTTACCTGGCAGCCCAGTAACCTCTACTAGCATAAATGAGGAAAGATACACACTGGAAAAGCAGCAGTATTTCCACCACACCTGAGTTGACCTGCACAGTAACAGTTAAACATTCCTACCTTGCTGTCAAGCTTCTTCATTGTTACCAAGTCCAGGGATTTCAGCGAGTGGCCTGTCGGAGCAATGAAGTACAAACAGGCGTGGATCCGGGTGTCGTGGTAGTTGTGCAAGACCCTCTTTATCTTCAGTTCTTCTTGCAAATAGGCTTCAAACTGAGCATCAATGAACTCGACAATGGGCTTATAGCTTTGAGGAACAGAAAAAAAAGTTACACATCTCACAATCAGAAAAGTAAACAGACAATGCTCCTTAGCTTGCATTTTGGAAATGAGCTGTGAGTTAGATTTCCTTCAGGAGATCAATCCTCCTCTGAATCTCTCCTATTCCCTTGTCGAAGAAATTTAAACATTGCACTAGCRACAGCCTGTCTGACAAAACACATTACTGAAGATTCAGCAGAGGATAAGAGAACACCATTAAAAGAGCTGGCAAATAGCAACCTCTTCCAAGGAAAGTGGGCACTCATATTTTGAAATGTGAGGGAGAGAGTTTTTTAAAAGAAGAGATAACATAAACTCCTTCAGAGCAATGGGTATTGCTTGCTTCCTTCCAGGGAGCAAATGCCTTGCTGCTCTCACCAGTCCCAATTGTGCTAGCGAAGAGACCTCTCCGTTCAGCACATTTGCCCAGTGCTCTATAGCAGAAAATCTTTGCAACTCCCTTGCATTTGAAATGCAGAGACTGTCAGACTCGCAGGAAAAAGCACATCAGTGTGTCTTAACCAAAATAAGTGAAAATCTCAGAGATCTGCAACTAAGCAAACCCGAAGGCAGTGCCTTCGGGAAGCTGTGGGAGGGTCTGGTGTTTCTGCATCTCCTTGCGTGGCCCCACACCACATTCCAGCCACACTGGGACTTGAGCTGCCAGAAACGTTTCCCCGGGGTATTTCACTGAACATTTATTGTGCTTCCCTTGGCAAGGCGGGAGAGCCCTGTGAAAAAAGTGGTTGTTAAACAAAGGGTCACTAGACCACACTAGTGGTTTGGTGAGCAGCTTGTGGTGAGAACAGCACAAGGAAACAAGCACAGAAATGCCCTGGAACTCGCCACTCTCCCCACCAGATTAATTTGGACTGAAGGCTGCCAGGAAAGCAGACTGCCCTGACTCCATGAGAAAAACTGCTCCAATAGCCGACACCACAGGGCTCTCCCTTCTCTCCTCTCTGTCCCATCCCCAAAAGATGAGGATGATTCATAAAAAGAGACAAGGAGAACTTTATTGTAAAGACAGTGTGGCTCAGCTGGGGCGTAAGAGGACACCGTGTARGAGAGAACCAGGTTGTGATAAAGCCCCTTTGCACCTCCGCTCACCTGTCCTCTTTGTTGATCTGATCCCCGAAGCCCACCGTGCTCACAATGGTCAGCTTGAGGTTGACATTGCTCTCCTGCAGGTCGTAGGTGTTAGATTTCAGCTGCACCCCAGGCTGGGAGTGAGATGCCGGGTCACCTTCAAACTTGGTATTAAAAAGTGTGTCCATGAGGGTAGACTTACCAAGGCCAGTTTCCCCTGTTACAGAAAAAGAAGGTCAAAATGTTTTGCTGAATATTAATATGGCTTGGCCTTCCAGCATCCAGCCTTTAACAGGGGTGAAATTGTAGCAGGCAAAAGCAGATCTCATGTTCCAAAGAGGCTGTCTGGCAAGCAGAAAACCATGTACAATGGGAGGTCTGTATTCCTGGCAAATTACATTACACAGTCTAATGGCCATTAATATCATTAGAAAATAGAGATGGAAAGAAAGAGGTGAAAAGGCAAATGGGAAGGCCTCATTTGGATCCTGCACAAACCCATCGCTCCGCTGCAGAAGAGGCTGTTTCCATTAAAGTAGGGAGGGGGCCCAGGGCTCACAGCCATCTCCAGAAAAATATGATCCAGATGAGCATTTCTCTGATAAGTGACACTGAAATAGTCTCCTTGCATGCAGAAACACCGCAGTATGGTTCCAGTTCTACAAATTGTGCAGTTGGTTTCTTGTACCCACAACAGAGAGAGTTGGGGATCAGTTTTCTAATCTGGGAAGTGATCTTTCCCAAAATATCTGGTTTCTACACATCAGCAGCTTCAGAGGTTATATTCARCTCCCAAATTTGCTTCCAATAGTTCTACAGCATTGAACTACTGTTCAGATTCCATCTATCAACTGTATTTCCTTATCTGGAAGAGACAAATCCCAGTGACCAATCTTAAATTTGTTTTAGATACATCCCTGGGAGAACAAAACAAACCCCTCCACACCGTTAGTTCACAGGCTGGCAACAGAGCTCACTTTCCAAGCACAAAGCATCTGGCTTGATGCTACAGCCCTGAGCAGCCTGCCGTGCTGCCCTGGGGGGCCTGGTGCGTTTTGGGGGGACGGAGACTCCGGAGCTGCCCGCTGGCTCCTGCTGCAGCCCCAGCAGGAACGGAACCACCGCCAAGGCTGCTCAGCCAGAGCGCTCCGGGACCACAAGGAGACTGTGTCTCCCTGCAGCGGCCTCTCCCACCCTCGGCTTCCAACCGGGACAACTTCGTCTTTTCTTCCTTTGCTCAGAAGAAAAGAGCTTCTGATTTTTGTAAGCTTAGAGTGCTGCAACAGATCCAAACTTGCATGAAATGCCCGATTCAATAAGGGGAAACTCCTCCCTTTCCTCCCCCATCCAAATCTCTGTGCCTCACCCCTGCAAGCAGGCAAATTCCTCTCTCCTGCCTCTGGAGGAGACTTCTCCAGCTCCAGGTTGAAGTACAGGCAGACAGGGCAGAGCAAGATGCACTATCCTGGGGACAAAGTGCTCTCTGAGTGCCAGGACCATATATCAAATATCTACCCAGAAGTCAGCAAGATTCACTAACATTTCAAAGTCAATGTACACCTCGAGCTTCAAAGTGGTATGGGCAGAGAGATAGTAGCTTGTGCCCTGAATAAACAGATGCCAACGAGAGTCCCCAAAGCCACAAACAAAGTTGCTCTTCACACCAATCCTTGTGTCAAATGTCATCTGCAATCTGAGGGGCACAAAGGGGAGTCACCTGAACAAGCGGACACTGCTCTGTGCCACTAAGGCATTGGTCATGGTTCCAGCAGTGAGGCTCGGATCGGAGGGCAGGGAGCAGCTCATGCTCCTCTCTGGCAATGAGAACGCAGATCCAGAGGGCTGGGAGAGGGGGCAGGAGCTGATGGCTCTGCAGGGACAAGCTGGTTATAGATGGGGATGGGGATGCAGGTGGTCTGGGTGCACCAGGTACCAAGCGGGCAGCAGGTGCCTGGAGCAGAGCTGGGCGCTGCCACGGCGGGACGGGACGGCAGGAGTTAAGCGGAGCCGCGGCGGGAGCTTGTCCCGACCCACCGGCCCTTTGCAGGGATTCCAGGAACATGGCAGTTTAAAAAAAGACAAAAATCTAAACAGCCCGAGAAGGCTGCAGTGTTTCCAGAGCGCCTGCCAAGGGCTCCTGCCTGGATGGGCGGGCCAGGAACCCGCTGCCCTCCAAGGGCAGAGCCGAGCAGGGCGCTCCGGGGCAGGGAACACAGCGGGCTGCGGGCGCAGCCGCGTTCGCCTGCCCAGGAGAGCAGCGCGAAGGGCCCGAGAGACACGGGCAGTCTGCAAGGACGGGGCACCTCCTATCCCCTCTAATGGAAGCTACACAGGGCCACTAAAGAGGAGTTTTGAAATCACACACCAAGATTTTCTTTTTGAAAGATCTAACTTGATTCAAGCTGGTTCCATAGGCAAGACTTTCTCATCCAGACATCTACAGCTATGTCCCTAAAGAGAAGAGAATCCAACAGCTTATGCAGCATCACAAACCTGAAGTTTGCATGTCAAAAATCAGCCTATAAACCATCCTCCACGCTGCTGAAATGCCCCACGCCCTTGGCGCATTAAAAGCCTAAAGGAAAAAGGATGATGGAAGAGTGGAACAACTGCCTCAGCCCAGGGAAACGTGGCATTAACACTCAGGGAACGACTTCAGACRGTCACAGATTGGAGGTGTTAATAAAGTGCTTTGCTGTGTTAAATACGATCAGAGCCAAGCAGCGGTGCTACTCTGAAGGACCAAATGATGGAAAGAGGAATTTCTGAATCTCCTGGGAGTTTCTGCCTGACACAGGCAACTTTCTGCTGGTTGGAAGATATAAATGGTGCCAACTGCTTCTTGTGAGGACTGCGGCCCAGATGGAGCAGATGGTCTGATGAAAAGGACAAGTAGTCTGTGCTTGTTCCAGCCAACAGCACTGGAATCTTCTGCAGAAAACAGAAACAGTGAATGGGGATTAAGGGAGGCAGAACGGCCGTGGAAAAAGCAGTGGTGGACACAAATTGGGCAAGCAGCATCCTTGGCGGGGAGATTATTTCCTGATGTAAGGCTTATACGCACACATGTGATTTAATCTCCAAAACTGTACTTAAGGATTATGTAACTCCACAGCCGTCGGCTCCCTGGAAGCAGGGCTGATGCTGTGCCATGGGGAGGACAAGGTAGGAACAGAGCCCTTTATTGTTAGATTTCCGTGACAGGACACTCAGACAGCTATTGAAATGCAACAGCTTTGTGTCTTGGAGCATGGGACGGATTTTTTGCTTTTAAACCTCCTGGTTTTCAGAGATGTGAAAGAAAAAAAATAGCAAGAGCCATTACCTCAGTGAGACTCTGGCTGTGCAGCAGTACTGAGCCAGTGCCCTGAAAGCACCATCTCCTTCTAGCCCCTCGCAGCCTGCAGGCCCAGGAGGCTGGGCCAGGTTCCTGCACCTCCCGAGTTGCGCTCCTCACTCACGTGCACCTGGTGAAAATGGTTCATCCACTCATTTCTTTGGCAAAACGGTGGCATCGCTCGCAAATACCTGACTCCAGCACAGTAAGGATTGCAGTATTCCATGCAGTAAGGGTTGCCTGGTCCTTGGTCCCGGTCGAGCCTGGTCCCCTTGTATGTGTTATGTGAAATAACAACATCTGCTCGCTGGTCGGCTGCTCCGCCTCGCTTGGCGTCTCAGAAGTCTCAATCACATCATCCCTCTTCAGGAGGACRGGGTAGTGCTCGGTGTGTTTTGTTGTTCAGAGGCACAGAGTGGCTCTTGAAGGGAGTCATTGCAAGAGAGAGGAACACCCGTCCTTCAGGAGATTAACAGCCTAGGGCTCCAGACATCAAACAATTCAATCTCGAAGAAAATGTATATGCATGCACAGCCCTTTCATGTGAAGAAATGGGCACTAATCCAACGTAGCAGGTTTGTCAAGGCGAGCCCTGAGGCAGCTCAGCCTGATAAGGCTGTCTCTTACGGAGAGAGGGAAAAAATAGTGCGTTTCATCTGACAGGTGTATGGAGCCGCTGCACAGCTCATCCATCACAAGGCAAAGGCTGTGCTTTGGAGGGCAAGAGGAAAGAGGTTTCGCAAAGATGCTTCAGTGATGCAGGTTATGACAGACTGAATGATGAAAAGCCAAAACCTGTCAGCTCAAGTTTGGGAACTGCTAAATATACAYGGGGAAAAATAATAATAATAATGAAGTAATAATAATACAGCCCCTTTCTCCCCCCAAAACAGGGGCCTTTCTTTGCAAGAGTCCTCTATCAGTTTTGGTACAGCCACTGGCAAAAGGGAAGGTACTGCAACAAAATAGTGTTTTTCATTGCACTGAATAGGCTGCTTAGCACAAATCCCCTGTAAATCCTGGGAGGAAGGAAGAGGGACATTCCTGCTTATAACGGGATAGCAGTCTAATGCAATATAATCTACCCTGACCAAAACTGAGAGTTTGCAGGAAAATTCTCAGCCTCCTCCTCCTCTCTCTTTCCCCCTTCCCACTAAGCAATGCTGAGAGCACAAACACTGTCTCAGCCATTAAATACTTCTCCAGCCTTTGCACTGAACTAAGAGGCAACTGACATCTTGCACTGAAGCCTTAGGAGAAAACAGTTATGCCAGGGGATAAAATATAAGAGAAACCATTCACAATCCCGAACTTATTCTGGGAGGTTTGTTCTTCTACTCTATCCTTGGCTCCAGTCTCAAAGGGGAGACAGCTTTCAGCATGAGAACAGCTAAAAATTGCTCTAATCTGGACGTACTGCTGAGCCATTTCTGAAGCTTTCCTTGGCTCCGCCGCCAGGAACCAGAGGAATCAGTGGCTCAGATCCAGGATGGCACAGGGTAAAACTGCCGCTGGATTTTTCCTCCAAGAAATGCTGCACACAACTGAAAAATGGGGAAAACTGAAGCGCATTACAACCATGTTCAGTGGCCTGACTACAGGATCAGCTCACCTGCTGGCCCTTTTGTGGCTCCAAACTCCTTCTGGACACATAAGAACAATAGACTAAATAGCACATGGATTCTGTTGTCTTATTCCAGGATGTTTAACTTTGTTACCAAGAGTTTAACTTTGTTACCAAAAGTTAACAGAGCTACCAGAAAAGACACTTTAAAGCCAGAGGTCCTCAAGTAAAGATTTGCAGATCTTTTCCTAATGAGACTTACTAAGATTTTCCTGCAAAGCTTATTTCAAGACTAACCATGTCTAGGTTGCTACCATTCATAAAAGACTGATGTTAATAATAAATGCACATTAATCTTGGTGAGCTCTTGTGATCCACACTAACTGCGATTAATACATTCATCTTCTGTTCTGCAAAGAGGAAACCAGAGGCATTCAACTGTTTTCCACACATCAAGGTGAACATATAACCACAAGAGGCAACTGCTGCTGCATGTGTAACTTCTAGGAAAAAAAAAGCCACTCAATAAGCACAAAAGGAAATACTGCAAGGCTTCAGTCTTTGGGACAGGGGAGTTTCACCAGGTCATATCACATTCACGTACAGTGGAAATCACCTGGCAACTCAGCCTGACAGTGACCGCTACTTGTCAGCAAAGTTTAGCATCTTGCAGGATCGCTGTCACCGGGGAAGTTTTCCTCCAGCTCCACTGAACCGGGCTCCGCTCTCCGTGCTCTGCTCCGCCTGTCTCAGCATTAACCTTGTCTGGATGAGCACCGGGCTCTGCACCGCATGGGCTCCCTGGAGCAGCCAGAGAGCTGAGTCCCAGCAGGGATGAGCCCCAGGAGGCACCAGCCGCTGCCATCCCGTGTCCTTCGCCTTGTTCCAAGCAGCCACGGCCACCCTCTGCTCCCAAGGACGGGGCGCAGGCATCAGCAAACCAGAACCACCCTCCTGTCAGGCTCCCTTGGCCACCTTGCCAAGACACCACGCAACACAGGCAGCCATTAGGCCTTGCAGGAGGGACCTCAATCCTCATCCGGGATCCCAATCCCGGGGAAGGCCCGGAGAACTGGCCGGTGCTGTGGGGCCAGACAGCGAGTCCTGCTGCAGCGCCAGGGCCCCGCCGAGACAGCTCCCACACGGCAGCTTGGATAAGCGCCTGGCCAGACACGGCTTGGCCAGACACTATTTTAATTCAAGTATGCACAGAAGGGAGTAGAAAAAAATATATCTTTTAGCGCTTCAAGAGGAGCATGACTGGTATTTTGTTTAAATAGCAGTAATAATAATAATTCGATGTCTGAGCAAACAAGATCTCGGAACAAAGCTCTCTGGCATGAATACCTGTTTTCTTTTAAAAACATTAAATTGAAACATACTAGGAAAATAAACATCATAATAAAAGCCTGGGATTTCAAGCGTTTTATTTCTGTGGTTCGCTGCTTGGTAGAAAGCCATGCTGCACAACCCCGACAGGGATTTCCCAGAGCACCAGTAAATCACGTTACTCAAAATAGACAGAATGGGAGGCGGGGAGGAATTTCAAATCAAAGCTACCTTGTTAACTCTACTACCTACAAGCTCTATCCAGCTGCAAAGAAACCCTGTTCAGCAACAGACCTTCCCAAAATGGAAATACTCACCCACACACAGGATGTTGAAACAGAAACCATGATTAACTGACTTATTAACCAGCTGGTCAGGCAAACTGTCAAATCCTACGTGTCCAGAAAGGGGGACAGTACGACAGCCTTCACCCTGAAACACAATGAAAAATACACAGTTTGTGTTATCTGCAAGCAAAATACACTCCTCTGATAAACCCTTAAGACCTCCCACGAAGAATCAATGCACTGTCCAAGCACAGATTCCTACATGAGTGTAAATCTTGTCAGGGTGCTTCCCTCTTCTCCCAAACAAATCCAGACGGCGCAAGTAAAACATTCCATTTGCCTCCCATCAGAAGGTAGCCCTGTCACCCAAACTATTAAACTGCGCAAAGCAYGCGCACAAACACAGCTGCTGAAATAGCAGGTGGTAAAACATTTATTTCTTGGAAACTATTTAGACACTCAAGTCTCACCTTATATTGAAAACAAAAACAATCCATCGCTCAAAGGAGTAAGAAAATTTTGCCTCCTTCTATATGCTTTTCAATGATAGAAACTACAGAGAAACAACTAGGAAAACGACATCTGTATCTATCACTCGAACAACCCAAACATGCTGCATCTGCCAAGCTCAAGTATTGTAGGCACAGAAAGAGCAGTCTTAGAGCTACAAAAGCAGCAAAGACAAAAGCTTCAGAGCACCAACCAAGGTCTACCCAGATCTATAAAATGTCATAGGCACCAGGAAAACCAGAATCATCAGAGGAATCAGCAGGGAAGACAGTCACAGGGACAGGGGGTCCCAGCCTGCAAGGAGGCGTCTGCCTGATTCTTGGAGRGGGTCTCAGTAGTTTCCACCTGGCCACGGCACAYGGGACGTGTCACTTGGGACCCAAATGAGGACAGGCAGTAATAAACTACATCCGAGTAGGAGGCTCTATGAAAAGCATCATGAAAGGTGTTGAGTTCTGCATTAATCTTGCATATTTGTGTGCACTGGAGCTAGGAACGGTTCCCCTCCCACAGCCTCCCCCCAAATTATATGTCTCCCTATCAAAGATTTGCCCTAATGCTGCATTTTAGTGCCAAATGCAGACCATTCACCTTTGGCTTTTTAGCTGTACCATCAGTTTGCAAAAAAATACTATCGCTAAAAGGCAATAGGTCCCAGTTCCCAAGGGTATCATTTTGAACTTACTCTTTTCAAACCATGTTCTCTCATGTCCTGAAAACCTGTTTATAAGGACAGACATGCTGTTTTTCTTCTTCTGTTGAAGAAACTTGTATTTTACACTAGATTAATGTCGCTAAGGACTGCATCCACACGTCAGCCTGTCAGAGTAGGATCTTCACTTGTGCTGTGCACAGTGCTTGTGCTGTTTGGCTGATATTATTTCCCCCCGTCACGCATGAGGATCCAAACACACTTCAGCCATTAGCCATATTTACAGCCTCGCGATGAGTAAATATGTTTCCTCTTAGCCATATTTTGTGTATCAGCCTGATTCTTCCTGCCAAGATGCTCACCAAATATGGTGCTTTACTAACTGCAGAGCACCTTGCTTCCAAGAGACGCCTCGATYGGGAAGGGTCCCCCTTCCCACAGCCCCTGATTCTGCCCTGGCCTCCCGAGGATGCTGCTCCGAGGCCCTGGGAATCAYGGACTGAATTCCTCCCAGGCAAGCAGAAATATCAAGAGTATTTTTAATACGAAGCCCTAAAACCGCACGGTTTGAACACTACTCTCTGCAGGAAGCGTGGGTGGCTGTGTAGGCTCTCATTAAGAACAAATCTTCTCCTCAGCCCTAAATATAAGCGTGATCCAGATGGAATAAAATAAAAGCGAAGCCACCGTAGGCTAGAGGCAGCAGTTGCCATAAAGGAGAATTCAGTCTACAAGTCATTTCCTGTAGCCTCTTTCTCTCGTCACCTGTGGTTTTATAATGGAGTTAAACCACCCTGCACGTTTGCTACAGGCCAGGAAACAAGTCCTGCTAAATGTGATTTTCAGTCACAACAGCTGAACCTTGAAGCCAAACAAGCAGCCCCAAGGCAGCTTGTGCTGCACTGCCTGCAAGTGCAGAATACGGCCTAAGAACCGAGAGATCAGGTGCAGTAAAAAACACAAAATTATGCTTTAAGCTCAGGCTTGTTTTGGCGCACACGAGAAAGCTACTGCCAACTAAAGGAAGATTTTCCACCTGAAGAAATGGTGCAACTAAGGAGCCTTCACACACCAAGTGGTGCTTCCATATGCAGAATGCTGCCCTATATAAATAGCTTCAGCAAAAAACAACATATGAACACGGGGATTAGTCATACTGCCTATATATTAAATGCAGATTTGGATTACCTTGCTCAAAATCAAAGGAGAATATTTTAAGGCTATGCTGCATCCTGTGCTAGGAAAGAGCGTTCAAGGCCTGGTCACCACTGTTAACAGCATCTTTAACACAGCTAAGAACCTTTAAGACAACTAACCACCTTTAACAGCATTTTTTCAGGCCAAGCACACAAAGAGATCCCAATGAAGATGATGATGGTGCCTGTGTGAAGGCTTTTTCCATCAACATCACCGAAAGCGGGATTTCTAAGAGCCCTTTCGCATTCTCCTCTCCAAAGTCAGCATCTTCTGGGAAGAAAGATGGGTCTGGGAGCATCTGGGAACGCGGTGGGAACGCTGGCACCACCCCAAGCTACCAGATGCCTTTCTTTTCCCATATATGCAGTGACCCTCGAGGACAGAAGGAGCTGTTGTTGCCGGGGAAGCGGCAATGCGTGTTTGCCACAAACAAGACGAACGGCACAAAAAGAGCAACGCGCTGCCTTGCAGCACTGCCAGGTGGGGTAGCTGAGAGCCACACAGCGGTGCTGCTGTGTGGGGAAAGATGCTTTATTTCTCTTCATACCTTGGGGGGATTTACACACCCATTTTTAGGCCTTCTCATGCCACGGGAGAGTGCTGTCCACTCTAACTCCCACTAAGAAATATCAGAAGGATTTGACAGCTTTTCAAGTTTCAAATGAACTACCCCAAGGCACAGCACATTAAAGAGTAGTTTAATTAAACTGGGCAAAAATTTGGACACTGGGTGCTTGCATCTCTCTGGAAGCCCTCAGGAAGGAAAAATCACCACAAACAAATCCTGCTGGGCGTCGTGCATCTCTGCCCATTTACCCGGGATGTGAGCAGGGTGCCCCGGGCTCCGAGCCGACCCCAGAGCAGCGAGACGTGGCCATCCTGCGTGGGGATGAAGGGGACATCACCCCCAGGGCCAGCAGCGGCGCCTCTCCCGGGGACGGCAGCGCTCCACGGCACGGCAGCTTTGGTGGCTTGTGCCAATGGGAATGCTGACCCGCAGCACTGGGAATGCCGATCCACGGCACCAGGGATGCTGACCCACAGCACTGGGAATGCCGATCCACGGCACCAGGGATGCTGACCCACAGCACTGGGAATGCCGATCTACGGCACCGGGCACGCAAAGTCCCTACCTCGCAACACGCCGCACAGCCCAAAGCTCTGTCCCCAAAGGAGGTGGTGCCCAAGCACAGCCTGCACAGCCACAAGGAAGCAGCAGTTTCAGAAAAATTGCTGTTCTGGAGGAGGCAACGCAGTCTTATCCCTGAAGCCATCTGAAAGATCACATCTCCCCAGGAAGACGCTTAGTCCTTTCACTACTGTTTCTCATGCACCCAAAGTGAGAAGCGCCTCAGACCCTGAGACTTGGCAACCTTGGRGGTTTCTAAACACCGGTGATGACCCAAGCAGTGAAATGACCCGACGAGAAGGCACCAAGCGACGTGTGGCAAGGGCAGGTGGCTGGTTCCTGCCCCGCAGCATCGGCCTCAGGAGGAGCCCGAGCAGAAGGAGGCCCAGGGTCGGCTCGGGTTCCTGCACCACAGCTTTGCACATCACCCTTAAGGCAGAGCAGCACCAGAGCTGACCTCGCGCCGCGGTGTCCGCTTCCGCAGGCTGCTCCAGCTCTGATTAAACAGCTGGTTAGGGAACTGCTCTGGGGAAAAGCAAGAGCAGAGGGAGAGAAACAGCTCTGAAGGAGCCACCAGCGACAGCAAGGAAAGCCCGTYCCCGGCTGCCAGCGCTGCCCCGTCTCCGCACCGGCGCCTTGCAGCGCGCAGCCGCTCAACTTCCACAAACGGTCAGGCGCTTCCGAAACCTCCCGCTCTGACAGCTCTGACCATCACTCCTCTTTACGCCCTTGCCAAAGGGTTGCAGGAACACCAGGCTGCTTGGACACGTTCCCGGGACAAGTCTCCCCGGGCAATTAAAAGATGCGTCTCCCTCCTCAGCGCCCTCGGGGCTCCTTCAGCTCCGCCGCGGGCTCCAGGGCTCGGCCCTGCCCCGCGGCCGCTCGCGGGGGCTGCGGGGGGCGCGGGGAAGGGCTGAGCCCCCCGGCAGCGGATCCGCTGCGGGAAGGAGGGAAGGCGGCAGCGGCCTCGGCCGCTGTTTCCGCGCTAAGGCCCCGGCCGCACGTCGGAAAACCGCGAACAGGCCGAGGGAGCCGCGGCCTTTCCCGGGGGAGGCCGGGGGAGGCGCCCGCCGCCCCCCGCGGGTGCTCCGGGGGAGCCGCCCCAAGGAGCGGGACCCAAGCCGGCCGCGGACACGCGTGTGGCTCTCGGGGACACGCAGGGGCCTCGGGAACCGCGCGCGGGACCGGGGGCCCCCGCCGACCCTCCCGTCACGCGTGCGCGCGGGTAACGGCGGCGCCC